ATAAACACGTTTAGATTGAATGGTAATTTATAATCAGTCACAAGAACGTCGAATCTGAATCACTTGAAAAAAACACGGGGGTGCTTAACTTTTTTCCAGGTGTATATGTTTGTAACACAGTGTTTCCTGATTGTAACTGTGTGTACCAGCTTGTATTGTGTGGGATGACGAGTAATTATATATGTTTGTAACACAGTGTTTCCTGATTGTAACTGTGTGTACCATTGAAAAGGAGTGATACAAGTATAAGAAAATAAGAAAAAAAATGAAGTTACAGAGTTTTGGATCATGAGAAATTTACATCTCTATAAAATCGTAAAACTTGCTGCCTGTCCTAATCACTCCGTTACGCTGCTGGATTCCACGTTTTATTGACCCTACGTCATCCTTCACATATATTTGTCGAACATTAATTTCAAGTCTTTGTAGTTTGTTTCTAAAGCATTTGTCCAGGGTGTTTGAAATATTTGCACATTCGAGTCGAACCAGCACCCCTTGTCAAATTTGATAAAACCCTTGATTAATTCAAAGTCGACTCTTCCAGGTCTCCTGGAATGTTGTGACGTAGATCAAGATCAATCGTTTTGAAAGAATGCTTTAATGAAAACTTAAGATAGGAAAGTTTGAACTTGGTTTTTCTTAACGCACAAATTTAAACTAGCACATTTTTTAATGGTTCGTTAATATTTGACTCGTAGCTGAGAATATGACTACCGTGTGTATCAGAGTATATCGTGTAAAAAAATGATGAATTGAAAAATATCTATACACGTAAATACGTTTGATGAGATGTATTGATGTGTGATATTGATTGCAGTGCGTATCAGTTAGAGCGTGTGTAACTCTCAATAGAAACGGTTTTGTTTAGGTTTATAACTAACTTTCCTAATAGAACGTAACAAGAAGTGACAAACGAAGGGAGCTCAAAACTCTAACTCTAGGGGGCGGAGTCAATTATTTTCAAAAGAGTAGAGGTATCTATGTTGAAGGTTAAAGAACCTCAACTGGTTTGTAATTAATATAAAGAGTAATAATGGCTGGAGACGGCTTAAATGGGTAATGAAGAAAAACTTTAATATAAGTTTAACATAACAATAAATGTACAACGTTTCGACAAGGTTTTATCAACCTTGAAGAAGAATGGCCAGTTATACTTGATTTTTTTGTGATCCTTTGTGCTAATTCTTTCATCATGTCCTCCATATCTTGTCACTTTTGATCTTTAGTTTATCAACATAAAAGCAACTCCTGAAGTGAAAACATGAACCCTCCTAAAAAAAATAGTTGTGGGGCAATTTCTGTTTCTTCCATCAGTATATTTGAATTAAACATCCCTTTATCATCGATTTTATCTCCTCCACAATATTTTGTGATGATTGTTTTGTGTACTGTGATTTCTTTAAAATAGGGATACAAAGTTATCAGATGTATGGTAATGTAATTTCTGCAAAAGGTTTTCAAGTCAATCTGGTTATTAAGTCACCAACAGAGAGTTGATTAAAATCAGACAGTGCATCTCGATTAGGTACTTGTTACAGTTTTCTGATTGATGAGACAATGCTTCTTGAATCTCATTTTCTTCACTTATCCATCTTTCTTTTGTTTTCATCTACTCCTAACTTTTTGGTTAGGATACATTATTGAATTCTCACTATTCAGTGTCCCCAGAGTAAGAATCTTAGGATTCATGATTTACTTTAGTTTTTACACAAAAATACACCACACAATAGGGCTATGGGTGCATTATAAGAGTAACAGACAAATCTCTAGTCAGACAAGACTTGCTGCCTTCCCTCTACTTTATCAGTTCCAAATATTTACAGATAGCTTATTGTGTAACTTTGTGAAAAAAAAAATCATGCACATGGGCCATTTTGAGAGTGAGGCTTCACTGACTGACTTAGTCTCAGTAGAGGCACATGTGTACAGCTACAATATTCTCAGTGTGTCAGTTATTGTCTTCATGAGCCATTGGTAAAGTTAGTTTTTAGTGTGCTCTTAATGTTTGTTTTGTACAAAGTTATTTTGAAATCTATTTTAATGTATTAAGTGAGATGATTTAATTCTTGATACAGAAGAGAGTGCCAATACAGTGCACATTTCTTTCATTATGTTTATGAGGTTCTCTTTGTTAAACATTTACAATTTTAGCACTGAGTTAAACTGAGTTATGCTGGTTAGATGTCATATTTAACATGCTTATTGTATTTCAGTCTTATGATAAACTGGTTAAATATCATACCTATTGACTGTTGTTATTGCATTCAAGCATTAAATTAGACTGATTAGATGTCATACTATTCTTATTGTAGTTGAACCTAGAGTTTAACTGGTTAGATACATATTATAGTTATTAACTATTAGGTGTCATACTTATTAACCATTCGTACTATTAAGTAATAACATCCTTTTTCCTATTAGAACACTACCATATATTTGTTGGAGATCTGAGTCCAGAAATTGAGACAGCACAACTTAGAGAAGCCTTCACACCATTTGGAGAAATTTCGTGAGTGTGTTTTTTCCCTAAATTGGGAGTATTCATAGAAATATTGAAGTAATAAATTATTGGTAGAAATTATTTACTGAGTGTTTTGTTGTTACATGTTTGTACTTCAGGTTTTGGTTATGTATAAAGAGTACATATTTGTTTTCTACCATAAACTAATGAAATGTTTGAAATATTTAAGACATGATGTAATTTTTTTTTACCTTCTAAAACTTTTTGGGGATTGAGATTAGAATATTTACCTTAAAAATTATTAATAATTTATACACAATCTTTATGAAGATGAAGACATGAAGCATTTTAATTATTTTATACATTTAATTTTCAAACATAAAAAAGCACCTTTGTATTAAAGCAAACACATATAAACATCATACATACATACTTTTATATTATTAAAATAATTAAAACAACTACCATTACAACATTGGCTATTTTAAGTCTCTGAGTACTTTTCAGAAAGTGCTTGTACACATGTTTAAATAAAACAAAACATAAAAAATAAATTGTTTTATTCATGTTGTTTTGTTATCCTCCCAACTGAAAAGGTACAGGTGATTAATAATGGTGTCTATATGTAGAGGTTCACTTTTAACATGATGAAAAGACTTTTAAACAGCAGATTTTAATCAAACTTACAGGTCAAAAAACTTGTGGATGGGGTAATAGAACCTTATTGACTTGGGGGTTAAAATATTACCACTTCAAAGTAAAATGAAGTTTAGTTTCTGTGCAAAAGAAAACATAACCTCAAAAGATGGACACATATGCATACATATTTATCAACACCACAAAACAAAAACTAATGGCCATGGTGATAAGTTGTTATACTGGTGACATTTTTTTTATCTATACATTAGTACAATAATGTGTTTCAAAGTTTACAAATGAATTCTTGGGGAACATCAGCACAGAAAATATCTAACATTATCCTATTGATTTGACTTAACCTTCTGCATGATGTATGCCTAACATATTATTTGCAAACATCAAAATAGTTAAAATATATACATATCAATTTGAATTTCACCTGTAAGTAGATAGTTTAGGAGCTCCATATTTTTGAAACAAAAACCATGATTATTCTAAAGATTTTCATCAGAAGCTGTTTATCTTTTGTTATGTATATTTTGTTGTTTTCAAATCCCAAGAGCCAACCATCTTTCATCATGCTGTTTTCATATCTTACATCCTGTTATGTATATTCTGCTGTTTTCAAACATCAAGAACTATATTGTCTGATATTGTGCTGTTTTGAGAAGTCTTATATCTTCTGTTACATACATTTTACTAATTAAAATCCCCAAGAGCTATCTATCTAATATTGTGCTGTTTTGAGAAGTCTTATATCTTCTGTTACATACATTTTACTAATTACAATCCCCAAGAGCTATCTATCTAATATTGTGCTGTTTTGAGAAGTCTTATATCTTCTGTTACATACATTTTACTAATTACAATCCCCAAGAGCTATCTATCTAATATTGTGCTGTTTTGAGAAGTCATATATTTTACATTCTCTGATATATATACATCTTCTACTTATTCCAATCCCCAACCTCTAGCTGACTTTGTGCTGTTTTCATAATTAGTATGATATAAGATATTTCAGTTATTTAACATAAATCAATAGTGAATTTTAAAAAACGTTATTCTACTAATAAAGCATTTTTTAAGAGAATTGTAAAAAATCAAGTTTTCAAATTATTGCAAACTCATGTTGCATCTTATCCATCAAGTTGCATGTTTCAATCTGGAAGATATGGACTTAAAGTTCAAGTAAATGTGTCAGTGGAGTTGGTAATGTCTTCCAGTTTTGTAGCGAAACCACAGCCACAGTCACCGATTTCCTTGGGTATAGATGATGATGTGTAGTAATTGTTCAGCGATTGTCATTTTGTCAGGATGTGTGAACTAATTATTCATGCAGTGGTTGTTAAATTGTTGAGTAAATGTCATTTTACTGAGGATGTGTGGTATTTGTAATGATTTAGTCAGGATGTGTAAGCTAATTGTTGAGACTTGTTTTTTCCATATACAGAGATTGTTCAGTGATTGTTGTTTTATCAGGATGTGTGATCTAATAAGTTGAGACAATGTTTTTTCCAAGATACAAGTGGCAGTTGTTGAGTAAATGTTATTTTACTGAGGATGTGTGGTATTTGTAATGATTTAGTCAGGATGTGTAAGCTAATTGTTGAGACTTGTTTTTCCCATATACAGAGATTGTTCAGTGATTGTTGTTTTACCAGGATGTAATCTAATAAGTTGAGACAATGTTTTTTTCAAGATACAAGTGGCAGTTGTTGAGTAAATGTACACTTTTTCTAAATTTGTGAGTTGAGGGGTTGAAATGGCTCAGTAGTTGGTGTAATGAACTGTGATTCTGAGGGTACGTGGTATGTGTCCTGTTGCCACAAAATCATTCTACACTCTCTGGGGCTATGGATTTTAAGAGTGACATAGAGATCCCACTGTTCAGTTAGAGTAACTCGAGTTGGCAGCATGTGCCATTCACTAGCTGCCTTTCCTCTAGTATATTAATTCAAAATTTGTTATGGTTATGCACAGAGTGCCCTTGTATAGCTTTGTGTGAATTTCCAAAACGAATCATTGTTGATTGAATGCTACTTTTTCTAAACATACAAAGATTTGTTGAGTGACTTTTATGTTTCAGGGGATTGTGTTAATAGTTGTAATTGTTCGGTGACTGGTGTTTTCCATAGATTTGTGTGGTATAGAGTAAATGCTTTTTTGTTTGTTTTTTCTAGAAATGCCTTCAAATTTTTAGACGATGATTATTTTCTTTACACATTTATGCCTGTTGTTGACTGAATGTTCATTTGTTAGGATAGGAGAGGCAAGTTTTGACTAAATGTTGTTATTCTTGAGAATATGTGATAATTGTTGAGAGAATATTGTTTTTTCTAGAATGTATGTGTTAATTGTTCAAGGAATGTATGACAACCGATTTAATGTCCTTTTTCTTAGGTAAGTGTGTGTGGCCATTGATTAGTGAATGTCATTTGTCAGAGAATATATATTATAATTGTTAAGTGAATTCATTATGCTAGGTACCTGTGGTGAGTGCTGGGTAAATATGTGTTGTTTTTCCCACATAAAGCGGCATTTATTGACTAAAGGTCACTTGTTCTAAAAGTGTCTTCGTTATTAAGTAAATGTTGTTTTTAATGAAATGTTTGTGATAATTGTTGAATGTTGTTTTTCCTATATGTTTATTTATTCTTGGGTGAATGCTGCTGTTTTTAATGAGATATTTGTGGTAATATTTGAGAGAATATCATTTCATTTTTCTCGTATGATTGTATTTATTGTCGGGTGGATGCTGCTGTTTTTAATGAGATATTTGAGAAAGTATCATTTTTCTTGTATGATTGTGTTTATTGTTGGGTGGATGCTGTCGGTTTTTAATGAGATATTTGTGTTCATGTTTGATTAAATGTCATTTTTCCTATGTGTGTGTGTGGTTGTTGTTCTGTGAATGTTATTTCTCTTAGGTTTTGTGTGTGTATGCACTGTAATTGTTAAGTGTATTTTTTTTTCCTTTTTGTGAGGGTATATGTGGAAATTATTATGTGAATGATTTTTTTCTTTGACATGTTAGTGTTTAAGAAATATAAATTTTGTAAATTTGTAACTGTCGAACCATCATACCATCATCGTTTTTGACAATGTGCTTGTTAATTTGTGAGCAAACATTTTCTTTTCTGAGAGATGTGTTTGATAATCCTTGTCATTTGTCTGAGGGTGTGTGTGTGTGTGTGCAGGATTTATAGAGCAAATGATGTTTTTTGTTATTGTTTTTCAGGAGTATGTTAGGTATTTTTTCAGTGTACCTTGTTCTCCCAAAGATATGTTAATGAGTGAATGTCATTTTTTCTTATTAAAAACAACTAAAATTGGATAGATAAAAAACAACAATAAAACTGTGTTTCACCAGCATAAACATGATGTCATAAGCACTTTATTTACACAACATATAAAGTACACCTATTTGGTGATGTGATGAACATAACTTTGACCTAAGCATAAATGTAAACTTACTCCTTGCATTAGAGATTTGTATTGTCTTATTATAATAGCTTCATTTATTTTACTTTTATTTACATTAGTTTAAGAACAAATAATTTTAACAATATCATTTTCACTACAGTATCCAGTATCTTTAAAATGTTGGTAGACATTTGATGGAACACGTCCATGTTCTGCTATTTTTATACTTTAATTCCCTCGGTCTTCCCAATATAAAGACTGTTACTGTGTGTACATTGTGCTCTATAAACTATCTCTTTCTCAATTACAGTTGGTTTAATTATGTTTTGTAATATTATGCTCAACCTTTTTCCTGTTAAAAACAGCTAAACATAATTGGAAGTTTATATATCTTTTCTAGATATTTTATTTTTCTGTATTTTTTGTTGTTTGTTTGTTTTCTTCCCCATTTTAGCTGTTTTTAAAGTGTGTGGGATACTTCTAGTACTTGCTATTTTCCTTGGATATGGTGGTAATACTTAAGTGAGTGATGCTACTTTGAGAATATTCTTAAATATGTATGGTTATATTATTAAGAGAACATCGTTCCTCTAAGAATATGTGTGTGTGGTAATTGTTGAGTGAATGTTGTTGTTATGATGATATACACTAATTGATTTAATTATGGAAGTAATGATTAACACCAATAAAATGCAAATATTATGGGATTACTTTCCCTCTATTCTATGAAAATGAATTACACCAGAGAAAAGTAACATGTTGAAAGCTTACACTATGACTGGCTATCATACAACCAATCAGATAGTGCCACACCTGCATAAAAACACAGCCAGTCATACTACTCCAAGCAGTAGTGTGATGATTGAACTCATAGCTCTTGGATCAGAATTAACACATTAAAAAGGGGTATAATTTGAAGTTTTTTCTGGTGAAGTTTACCTCATGCTACAGATTAAGGTAAAATCTCATGTTTCATTAGGTATTAT